GTGTGTGTAAGCTGGTGTCAGAGCCCATTACCCCTGAATACTATTTAAATCTTTTTTATTTTCTTTTTCTTGTTATAATTACCTGACAGCCCCTCACTGTCTCTCTCTAAGCTGCTGTCAATGTTTGGTCCACATGCACACACATTTTCACTCATGCACACCCATTGCTGTGGTAAACAAGCACACTGGTGGACATGGACATGATGTGATTTTGATGGGGGGGGTGATGTGTACAATATGTTAGGCACAGGGGGGTGGGGGTATTTGAATGATGGGGAGAGACTAATCTGCCAAGAGGCTGCAGACTCAAGGGCACATTGGTCATTGTGACACTGTGGAAACCACACTGCCACACAAACTGTCAACTTACTGCAGAAAGAAATCTTGATATCTCAATTTAACTTTTAATTTGTTGAATGGAGATCAAACAAAGCCTGATCACATTTAAGAGCAATAAAAACACAAATACTACCAACGCCAATCAACACCTGCATCTGAGACAGAAAGTCAAGTGGATCCATTGTCTCTCAAATATGTTCGCTTAACACCTTTTACGTGAAATCAATCGGAAGTACAGAAGAAAAAAAAGAGCAGAAATGAAGGAGATGTTAAAACAGTTTCTTTCATATTGTGCTTCTGTCTTGGAGCATGACAGGCTTTGATTTCTGTTTACTTTGTAGTGAAAGATATCGCAAGGAATTATCCCTCCCCTTAAGAATCACTGATCATCCAATAGGTTGAAATAAAATAGGCTTGTCACATGCTCCCTTTCTCTCTGTCTCTCTTGTTGTCTTTATCGTGGTGATCAGTCGAACGCTCGCCTAACATGAGCAGTCTGTGATTTCCTCCTCCCAGGTTTTTCTTCCCGTTGTCGCTGGTGATGTAGCAGAGGTTATGGTGTTAAACATGGAGCTGCTAAACATTCCCCAAGGTAATAGCAGTCAGTGTATATACAGTACAGTGCTCTACGGTGGCAGGAGGTTGCTGCTGAGTGTGGAAGCAATAGAGAAAGAGGCAAGGGGGAATGTGAAATTGGGAAAATGAAAGAAAATAAAATAATTAACAAAGGTGAAATGAATACTATACAGAAGGAGATGGAAGAAGATGGTAAACCAAAGATATAAATAGGCAAAAAGGCAACAAGGAATGATAATGATGTCTCACTGTTATGACACTTAAAACATGCTGGTTGGTGAGTGAGCACAGGTACAAGCGCTGTGGCTGTGGCTGCATGGGTTTAAATCCAGTTTTTAACAAAGTCAGTTATTCCAGCTATTTATCCAGTACTACATCACTTCTTGGATATACTGTGTACAGTGCATAGGGTGCCTGGGATATTATTTGATAATTCATTCGTGACCTTGGAAATAGTAGTTTGACAAAGTTATTTTAACTGAAGTTCCACTTAGTAGTTTTTCTGAGGGTCTCAACCAAATATCAGTCTTTGTCGTACATTAAAGTTGGCTCACAGGGTCGGAGATGTCCTGGCGTTCCCCAGCTGATCCAGTCCAACACAGATGAGGATTGAGAGCTCAGTAAAAAAAACTGCAATGTGAACTTTGAGTTAAGACATCATTGCCAAACACCATAATATTGACTACATGCAAAGTATCCTTTGACTGATGGTCAAGGCATGATTGCACCACATCCTCCTTTGTATGCAGTTATAATGCATGGCACCAGAATGCCCTCCAGGCCATAAAGTATGAATGGTAAATGAACTTTCATAGCACTTTTCCATGCAGTATGCAAGTTCAAAACACTTTACATTATTTTTGCCCATTCATCCATTCATACACACTCATACACACACACTTACACCTGATGGCCATACAGTCATTCAGACACTGGTGGGAAGGCCACGAGCATGTGGACTGGAAAAGTCCAACCAAAAACCCTCCACTCAGGAGATAACCCACTCCTGAGTTATAGCTGCCACCAGGAAGCCAGATTCTCATTTTGTTCCCTACTAAAAGTACAGAAATGAACAGAGAACATGCTTAGTATGAGTATGTATGTAAATTTTACTCTTGATGAACAAGTGAAATAAAGAGATGATATTTTACTGTTGGAGGTGGAAATTGTCCAACCCCCCACACCCCAGCCCTCTTTTTATACTCCAAAGGCCAAAACTAGGCTATGTCTAAGATTTTACAATGATTAGCGAGGGAGGGACAGGAAGGATATGTGCTGGGGAAGCATTAGCCATTAATGACCAAGGAGGAAGGGAAAGGGTAAGAGGGGATGACAAAGAGAGAGAGAGGACTCTCCTGGCATGGCTCAGCATGGGACTTGTACCTTTGCTGTCTGGACTTCCAGGGGTCTTGTGTTCAAACAGATCAGTGGCTTAGTAGCAGGGGTTTTAAGACCTGTGCTACTAGAAAGGGAGCAGGAGGTTTGAGACCAATATATAAAACATAAAAATTAATTGAATTTAATCATGTTTATGATTATGAACTGCATGTAAAGTTCATTTGTTTCTGTAATGACAGCTGGCATTTAAGTTGCTAATCTGGATGAATGAGAATACTGGATACTCTTTATCTACAAAATTATTCATCAACATGAAATTCTTTAGTTTTTTTTTTTTTCTTGAAGCATCATTCATTAAAAAAAAGTAAACTGAGCCGAACTGATTCCAAAATTCTGAGTTTGGGCTCATATGTTTGGCTCTCAGTTCTTTGACTCATTTACAGTCATCTGTCAAAATGACAGTTCAATGTCATCCCAAACACACATAAAACGTTCACATGGTGTCCTCTTCCTGGAACTGCTGTGAAGTCTGGGAAGAGAATCTAACACATCACCTTCCAAAAGCCTTAATAAATCATCTTAACTCAAACCTGTCATCTTTTTTGTAATATCCACCATCCAGCAAGTTATACAACCTAAATGACAAAATAGGTTGTTTGTCATTACGCACAAGAATCTGTTAGTTTTGTGGTCTGGCTCACCTCCTGGCTGTACTTCAACAACCTTTACAAAAAATGCTTACAAAACCAATACTTGACAACTTTCTGATCTGCCATGAGTAGGTATGTAGGTAAAAATGACTTGGTTAAGGTTAGGGAACGAATGTGGTGGTTGTTAAAGGAACCCAAGTTGAAGTGAACAGCAGTCTCCTGGGTCACGTGCTTGTCTGGAGCAAAATGTTTACCAAGCCTCATTCCAAAGATGTCCTGTGGCATAAAGTCACAGTGCTTTTCAAAGAAAATAGTTACTATTCACATGACCACAGGTATTTGCTTGGGCCATCTTATAATGGGTGGAGACTGTAACCACTGTCTGGATGAGATCTCCCCCTGTTTACAACCACCTGTCATTAAGTGAATAAATGACATACTTATGTAACATGGTAACAACTACACCAACTCCATGACAGCTGAAGAAAGCTATGAAATGTGTCTGACATCATGAACCTTGTGAAGACCAATGTCCAGTTAAACTGCTGCTTTAAGGGTAAAGAATGAACCTTTAAGTTCAATTGAATTTAAGATGTTTTTAGATGTTGAACACAGAAAAACACTGCTGGTTTTCTACTGAGGTCAGTTTGTAATACCAAAATGTTCTTAAAAAAGAAAAGAAAGAAAACAATTAAATCAACAATTTCCACAGCAAATTAAGTGTAAAATACAATGTGAGCTTTGAATATTTACGTCTGACTTCACAGTCCATGGGGCGGTGCAATGAAAGAGGACTACACATGCTACACTTCTGTTTATTTCTTGTACTGTATTGTACCTGGCTCACACATACAGCACACTAACATTTGAGCTACACCTTCCAAGAGTAAATAAAAGTGAAGGAGTTTTGCTGGACAACAGTTTCCACTTGTGAGTCATGTGTCAAGCCTTGTTATATTCTACTGTGAAGTACAGGTAGATTACAAGGTGTTGTCCATCCCCTGCTCCCTGCTCTTCCTGGTGTGGGATAACGTGAAACAGGGTCACATAAAACCAGAATGGCCTTCACTTAGTGTTCCCTGCATCCCCTTTCTCCCCCATCCCTCCCCTTCTCCTTGCACCTATTCCTCTGTTCTTATTTTTATTTATTTATTTATTTTTTTTTGTACTATGAATAAATTTAGTCTGTCCCGGTCATGAAAATGTCAAATACCTAAAATACACCTAGGCTAAATAGCATATTAATTTTTAATGCCTGCTCATCCTATGCTGCTATTCTCATATCAGGCCTGTCTGCCAACAGCTGTTGCTGGCTCTCTGGCTGGGAATTTATCATCCATCTAGCTAAAGCAAGAGAGAGAGGCAGAGAATTTTAGAAAAAAGAGATGGGAGACATTGTTCAGAAGACAAGGCAAAGGGGAGGGATGGATATGTGTTTTCATGGATTCCGAGCTTGCATTTATATCACCCACACCTCGCAAGTTTCTTTCTTTGATATACGAGTGGGATTCAATTACACTAATGCCAAACATAAATTGTTCAAGATTCCTTCTTTTTTCCCCCTTTGCCGTGTGTTATAGAGCAAGCCTCCTCATACATAAAAGAGAAATAAGGAGCAAAGTGGTGACATTGACGCTAGAGGTAGTGACATTGGGGAGAGCAGGAGAGGGAGGCGAGATGCACTGAAGCAATGTGCCAGTGTGGGTGTTGAATGCCACCCATGTGCGTTTTTAGGTGGCATGTGGTGGATGATTATCATAGATTATCACAATCCAGATTGTTACAAGTTCTGTCTGCGCACATAGCAGCAGTGTACTGTAGCTGTGTGACTGTGTGTGTGTGTGTGTGTGTGTGTGTGTGTGTTTGTGTGTTTTGGTTTAAGACAGAGTGCCTTTGGGGATAAGACTAAATGGTGAGTGAATGACGAACAGTTGGAGTGTGTGAGTGTATGTGTGCATTTATTTGTGTGTATGTGTCTTGTTCTTTTATCCCTACAGTATGAGAAGCAAATATACAGGGTTGAGAAAAAAATGTGACAAAGCTTCAAGTTGAGGACATTTTGCTACAGGCTAAGGTAAAAATGGTGTGTGAACTCACCTTAACACACCAACTGCATGCTGGAATGCAACCTGTCTGTTAGGATCAAGTGGGCTCTTAGTGATGCTCCTGACTCACTGCTGCTTACTGGAATGGCTGCCTGGAGGGAGAAACAGTGGAGGGTTAGGATTAGGAGAGAAGATGATAATGAAATATAGACCTGAAGAGGCAAAGAGGAAGATGGACAGGGGATTCACCATGAAGAAGACAGTGATGGGTGGGGAGGAGGAAGAAGATGAGGTGGGGGAGGAGTGATGTCAAGATGAAAATCTAACTAATTCAGCAAGCAACATTGCAGAGGTCAAGGGAACGCAGCCGAAAAAGGTTAAAGATGAAATCAAAGCCAGCACGCTGTGGTGCCCGGAGGCACAGCTGAAAATCTATCCCTCCAAGGCAAGGCCACCGCTGACGCGAGGCAGACAAGAAGCTAAATACTGCACGCCACACGGGGATCTTTCATTTTCAACCGATCAATAAAGGCTTATATTTATCAGGGCCTCTGAGCAGCTGCCACGTCTGACAAACCTCCACTTCATTTCTGCACTCCTTCTCTGCTCGTTTCTCCTCCTCCTTTTCTTCCTGTAGCCTCCTCCTCCTCCTCACCCCTGCATGCCAAATTGGGACCCATCGACCATGAAAAGGGGCAGAGACCCTGGATTGCCATTAACCCCCTTGTGTCACTAGACTGTCTAACTCACACACACACACACACACACACACACACACACCCTGGAGATGCAATCCTGCTAAAAGTCTGTCTCCCCTTTCTTTAACGAAACATGCCTTATCATTATGGCCTTGGCACAGGCACCAGCACCTCTTCATGTCTTTTGTTTCTCAAGCTGTCCATGTCACCGAACATACACACATACACACACACACACACATCTACTACTCTGCCACAGCCTGATTTAACTTTTAATTTCTATTATGCCGTAAGTATCTTTTTTGCCAAATTTATTTTATATAGCAAAAAAAATCAAATCCCAAATTACCACTGTAAATCTGAGGAGCATTATGAGAAGCGGAAGATTGGGTTTAGGGGTCTGAGTTAAAATAACTGGCTGCCTAATCATCTGCAGAACAATATTTGCTGTGAGGCATTCTAAATAGATTATCGCTAGTCCATCTGTGTCATCATTGATTTATAAGGCATTAAGCTGCTTGGGGAAGAGATAGGGCCTTGCTTTCTCTGCCGTTAAAGGGGCTTCTTGTCGAAATCAAGGGCACAGCAATGGAGCAACTGTGGCAGTCATCTAACCTCCCCTTTAATCATCAGGCAAGAGGAAGTGAAAATAGGACGGGCATGTCTTTCTTTTTTTTTTTTGAAAAGGAAAAGTATGAATCCAAAATTTCTGCATCTCTTTTTGTTTGCCGATACAAAGAGACTGGGAGGAGGGGAGGAAGCCCAGGAAAGATAATACACACAGAGAGAAACAAATAGCACACATAAACACACATGCACATACCCACGTGTAGATAAAACAAAACAAACCAAAACAAAAAAAGAGAAAAAAAAAACAAGGACGTCATTAACATATGAATGCTATATGCAAATGGTAGAGAGAGAGAGCAGATGTTGTTGCATTTAATTGACCTATATGTGAATTGCATCCAAACCTTTCACTTTGTTTCCTGGGACCACTGTGTAGACTTTTGACTGGCTTTCTAGTAGCACTAGCAGTGTTCTAGCATAAAGAGAGGGACTTGACTAGAAATGGAAGAGAACAGAAAAGAATAGGATTCTAGGGAAGGAAGGGGCCTTTGTTGAAAAAATGTGAAAATTCGCTGTTTGCTGCTGTTTTTTTTTTTTACTTTATTTTTTTCGATTAAATCTCTCCCACAGCTGTACTTTCATTACTGACATGGTCGTGGAAGTAACTAAGGACATTCACTCAAGTATAGTGTTCAAAAATTTGAGATGCTCTGGTTGAGTATTTTTATATTATATTACTAATCTATACTTTACAATTTAGAGAGAACTATTGTACTTATTACTCTGCTACATGTATTTTAATGTTATTTTTATTAGTTACTCTGCAGATTTTACATAAAAATCAAGTTAATAAAATATAGCTCTTCTTATAAACTATCAGCACTATTCTGTATACGATTGCTAAAACTGTTAAATATTAGCAGCACCCCAAGGAACTACATAATAAATGTGTTTACATGGTGAAAGAGTAATAAAAATATTACCATATTATCATTTTCTGTATCTAATACTACATGAGTCTGAAAGGGGACATTGTTCATGATATGTATTTTTATTTTTGTTCATCATTCTTTAGATTTCAGTCCTGGTTAATTTGGTGCCACCTGTGGTTATCCTGGCAAAACTGTATCCTGATAATTGTGTTTAAATATGGCCTAACATGTTTTGGTTGACCCGCAACTTTTATTCCGGTCCACAAAGTGCTGTATTGTAATCAGACAGGACTTTGGCATCAGAGACATGCATTTGTCTCCTGCATGTAGTTAAATTTAGGCTTCATAAACACTGATCTGCTTTAAAAAGTGAAAAAGTAAATGCATACAGTGTTGTGGCATTGTTAATGTTTTTCCAAATCCACACTTATTTTGTAACATTTCGAAAGTGTTTTGCCTAAGCATACCATTTGGTGACAGATGGTGACTACTTATAGTACTTGGGCTGTTGCTTTTTCACTAGCAATACTGTTGTCTAGCTTGGTGCACTAAGTGTTAACTATAGAGGACTATTACATTTAATTAAGAATTTCACAAACAGTAACACAAATATTATACCTAATATAATAATACTCTGAGTGAAATAGAGTGGCTATGCCTCTCTCTCCAACAATAAGCTACAATTACTGAAAGTATGAGAAATATAAACAGGGACAACCTCCTTTTTTCCCAGGCCCTTAATGCTGCTCAGCTGATCATTCATAAATTCGTTTGTGTTACTGGTTTTAGGGCACTATCGTCTGTGCCCTTGTTCCACCCATTTAGATGTATTAGATGAAGCCAGGAAGCTGCTACTAAAACACTGTGTATTGTGTAACTGAGATGGCACCCATTATGGAAGAGAATACAAAATAGAATTAATGTTACTGTTAATTTCATCTTTATTTAAAGTGACTTTGCAATGATTAAAGCTAAAAACTATATTGTTTGATCATTTCAAATAAGGAGTAATGTATTTTTTTAAGCTTTCTGACTCAAAATTGCTGAATTAAGCACATGTGCCATCCATTGACCAGCTTCCATTTAACTCATAAAAATATTTCTCAATATGAACATGTGTATACTTTGCAAACATATTCATTGAATTTGTTTCCTTACGTTGATTTGTTCAGTGTAAAGTTGGCAGCACTGCCTTTCTTTCCAAACATATTTGCTCTTGTAGTTTTGTAAGAATATAACGCTATGTTACTTATGATAGTTTCTACACCATAAGTGAAAAGTGTGCATGTGCTGGCTTTTGTCTTCCCTATCATGTGTAGTGTATTCACAACCTATTGCATATGAATCCCTAGTGCAAAGGGGATACTGCATGCAGACTTTGCCATGTAATAATAAAAAAACAACTATATAAGGAATGTAAATACACTGAATGGCTGTTGCTGAATAAAAATACTAATATCAAAAGTGGGATTTGATATTAAATGTTAGGGGTTACACTGCACTGATTTATAATGAAGAACTTCTACACTGACGTATTTCAAAATGGACTTGTTTTAAAGATCTGAGTGTTTATTCCACTCTTTAACACTCTAGCCTGTCAAGGCTCAAAATGATTAACTCTATCAAGCCCCCAACTACATTTTTCTGCAGGTGGAGGCAAAGATAGACAAAAGCAGAGAGATAGAGGAGGGAAAGTGATGCATTTTAAACTGCAATGTTTGCACGGGTGAGCCATGAAAAACACAGATGCTATTTTCACCCAAACCCACAAGTCTTGGGAATGTCATTAAATTGTATTAAATTGCCTTTTGTCCAGGGGGCAAGGACCACCCGATATATGATAATACATTAAGGCCCAGTGTGGCAGCCACCAAACCAAGACCATCTTAAGAACAAGCACGGTGTGTGCCTGCATGTGCATGTGTGCTAAAGAAGTGGATGGGGAGAAAAAAGCTGTAGAAATAGTGTGAGTTGGGGTAGAGGAATTGAAGGAGTGAGGTAGAGAGAAAGAGAGGGGAAGGGAGAAAGAGAGAGAATGAGGTGGTATGGCTGCCTGCCTGCGCATGTGGCTCTCTAACAACTGTGACACATACTAATAGAAACATACCTAATAAATTACAAGCTTTCAGGGTCTGGCAAGCTGACATTTTCTCTGTGCACGGGACAATTTCATATCTGCGCCGCAAAGTCGAGGGGCTGCTGGACCAAATTGCATCACATAGAGATGCCAGAGGATTAGCATAAAAATTAACACTTAAATTTCAGCTTATTGTCAACCCCACTCCTGCACCGGCTGCCTCACAACAATCAATTCCTCTTAGAAATCTGATTAGATTCCATGACGCTTATTATCCCAGTCATGTCTGCCTGCCCCCTTCACTACCACCACCACCGCATGCACACACACACACACACACACACACACACACCATTGGCATAGTCAGAGCACTGGCTTCCATGACTGCCCAGACCATTTGTTTAAATGGAATTAAGGAGGAAATAAATCTATAGGTGTGGCATTTCTTATGACAGATGATGCCTCATTCTCTGTCTGGGTGTTTATCTTGTGATGTTGTGTCTTTAGCCTGCATAGAAATCCACACTGACATTTTAATATTGTATCTTTTGCAAAACAAACTCATTGAATTCTTTTTACAATCATGGCAGGTGGCCAACAATTATGAGCAGTTATTATTCAAAATGTTCCATCTTTTAGTAAAAATAACATTAAATTTAAGCTTTTACAATCTCAAAAATGTGTCCCTGTCTTATTTCTAATCAAAGGTACCCATGTTTTTATGTCTCTCTTTGCTTCTACCTCCCACCCTTCAAAATTGACTTGACCACATCCCATCCATACACATGAATACACACATCACGAATGCTTTGTATTTACAGTAGAGAGCTGGAAAATACAGCTCTTTTTGAGATCTCATGAGGCTGTCGCAATGA